CACCCGCTTCTCAGAGCAGCATCAGCTGCCACAGGTCCTGTCCCCGGGCCAGGGGATGGTGGCTTTCACCGGGGCGTAAAACCAGCCGGGAATTTGCCCAAAGCAACCGGGCTCCGGTGCATGCTTTTGGATCGCCTGCCGCCCCGTGGGAGCGAGCCACACGCTCCCGAGCCTCTTCCTCAGCTCCTGGCAGGAGTTGAAGGAATTCATCAGCCGGGCGCTGCAGCGTGAGTCATCGCATCCTTTACGGTCATTTGGTTATGCTTCGGGAACTGCTCCTTTCTCTCCGGCCTCCTCAATTAGGCAGAGATTAACCGTGTTTCGAATGTGAGCTCTTGCTACCCCTACCAGAGGACGTCGCTCGGCGCTGGGCAGCACGTGGCATGGTGAATGCTGCCACCGGCATGCGGGGTGTCCGTGGCGGGGGTGTCGGTGCAGCGGGCTCGACTGTGTCCAGACACGCGTGTGCAGGCAGGAGCTGGGTGAACAGGAGGGCTCCTGCCTGCCTGTGTGTCTGAGATGGCTGGGAACGTGTGCCTGTCCCCATGGGCTGGCTTCCGGAGGTGTCTCCTTGCCCATAGGGTGATGCGCCTGTGTGGATGCGGTGTGTCTTTAGGTGTGTTGGGGTCTATCGCACACTCACTCACGCTGGCAGGGGATGTTGCACCCTCCCCTTCCACGCACGTGTGCTTGCTCCGCTCCATGACTGTCTTCTCTGCTGCCCAAGCGTTGCTCTGCATTCCCAGATCCATTGCAAATGAACCGATGGAGCAGGCAGAGCCTGTCTCAGCTCTGCCCTGCCTGTCCATCCCTGTCCGTCCATCCTTGGCTGCATGAGAGCAGGCAGAGACGGGTCCATGAAGAGCTTTCTCTCCTCTGCCAGGTGCCTACCTGGTCCCGTACCTGGTCCTGCTCATCATCATCGGGCTCCCCCTCTTCTTCCTGGAGCTGGCGGTGGGGCAGCGGATCCGCCGGGGCAGCATCGGCGTCTGGAATTACATCTGTCCTCGCCTGGGGGGCATCGGCTACGCCAGCTGCCTCGTGAGTGCACCCATGGGTCCCCTCGGACCCCCACCTCGGGGTGCATGGGACAGCATTGCTAGCTCTGTGTGTGTGGGTGGCCTAGAAGCAAACCTTGAGGGGCCCCGTGTGGAGGTTTGAGAGGTCAAGGGGAGTTTTTCCAGCTCCACCCGTGGGCTTAGGGCTGGATGGGAATGTGCCCGTCCCCTGATCCCAACAGCCCTGCTCCCCCGGGGGTCCCTGCCCAGCGGGAGGTGTGCTGGGGACAGTGTCACTGCCCTGTGATTTAATACCGTGTCCTCCTTCCTCCCCCCAGGTCTGTTTTTTTGTCGGTCTTTATTACAACGTCATCATCGGCTGGAGCATCTTTTACTTCTTTAAGTCCTTCCAGTACCCTCTTCCGTGGAGCGAGTGCCCCATCGTGAAGAATGGCTCAGTGGCCGGTAAGGGATGGCCGCTGGCGCAGGGGGGAGCCAGTCCCAGGGAAGGGGGCTGTGGGACACTGGGGACCCCTCAATATCTGTAGCTATCACAGGTTGGGGACGCCGGAGGTTGAGGTGTCTCCTGGGGCACTGGGTCCTCTCCGGTCCAGCTGCCTTGATGATATGGAGATGTTTCCCTTGGGTTGGATGAGTCTATCCCGTGCTGTCCCCTCAGGGTCTGTCCCCGATGATGGGATTTGATGCCAGTTGGGGGATCCAGAGCTTGGGTCTCCAGGTTGCCTCAGTGCTCGGGGCCAGGATCCGACCCATGGAGGGAGGCAGCAAGAGCCAGGCAGGGCTCACCTGGCTGCTCCATCGGTGCCTGACTGAGATGCTGATGGAGCTAATGGTGTTTAATAGCGTCTGAGCATCTCCTTGGGACACTCTGGCAGGTTCTTTAGCAAATGCAAATGTCTCTCCCTGTATTTAACATCTTATATCGGGTTAGCTCAGTTGGTTAGAGCATGGTGCTAATAACGCCAAGTTCACAGGTTCAATCCCTGCTTACTGCAGGGGGGTTGGGCTCGATGATCTCTCAAAGTCCCTTCCAACCCAAAGCATTCTATGATTCTATGACTTTCACCTGACAATGGCTTTATGTCCTGTCTCTTCTTTTTCCTGCTAAAAATAAGTCCCATTAATTCCTGTCCCTTAGTCTCCAGGGGTGCCTGCCTTCCCTGGCCGGCTCCGGCAGGTCTGTGACATTAATTGACGTTCATCCCCTAAGACATGGTGGGTGACTCCTCCAGCCCCCTCACACTCTCCTGCTTCTGCTCAATTGCAGTTGTGGAGACCGAATGCGAGAGGAGCTCGGCCACCACCTACTTCTGGTACCGGGAGACCCTGGACATCTCCAACTCCATCTCGGAGAGCGGAGGGCTCAACTGGAAGATGACCCTGTGTCTGTTGGTGGCCTGGAGCCTTGTTGGCTTGGCCATGATCAAAGGCATCCAGTCCTCGGGGAAGGTGGGTATCGGTGGCCACCTGAACCTGGCTGGGGTCTGTCCTTGAGGCAGAAACCTCCAGCCTGGACCATGCTCTCCTGCCTGATCTGGGGTGGCTGGAGGATGCTGTGTCCCCTGGGGAATGCTCACACCCACTCCAGAGTTGGGGCCATCTCCTGGGGGGGGCCAGAATAAGATCACAACGGGGTTTTGGTCCAGCTGACACCTGCAGCAATGGCCCAGGGCTCAGCCACATCAGGCTAGCCAAATCGCCTGCCCCAGCCCCTGCATTCGGGGGCCCTCAACTCTCTCATCCCCTGATGCACGCCATCTCGATGGACGCTCGTAGGAAGTAGGGGTGAGAGCTGAGCCTGCTTCTGCAGAGGGGGCATTGGGACTCTGTACATGAGAAGCAGGGCAGGGAGGAACAGAAAGCTTTGGGAGAGGGATGCCATTAGCTTGCAGAGGCCGTTGACATTTCAAGCAAGGCTGTGTAAGCAGTGGGATCAGATGCAGAAGGGTATGGTCTCCTGGGACACCTGAACATCCCTGTCTCCAGATGTGCTCTACAAAACTTCTGGTGCGTTAGCAGGTAGCAGAGGGCAATGAGACCCCTGCCCCGTGGCCCCAAGAGCAGGGGGGGGAGAGTGAGCTGCAGGAGCAGGGCCATGGCAGCAGCAGGTCTCCTCTTGCCCAGGATGAAGCCCCATCCACATCTGCTGATCGGGGTACTGGAAACGCCTCAGGAACCAGCTGGGGCTGCCGGCAGCCCTTGGCAGATGCTGGGGGAAGGGGTGGGGGTGCAGAGCTGTCCTTTCCTTGGGCTCCCCCAGGCACCAGCAGTTGGTGTTTCAGGGATTTTCTGAGCCAACACCAGCATCTTCGCACTCAGCAGCCCCAACGGGTTTTCTCTCTTAAGTGTGTCCAAGCACTTTGCAAATCCACCTGAGCTTCAGCACTTGTAGCATCCTGCTCTGCCTGAGAAGCAGACCTCATTTTGGGGAGGGTAACCTTCCCTTCTCACCCCTGTTGAGCTGTCCATGGGTTGGATGGGGAGGTGGCTGAGCTCAGCGGGCAGTAAATGAGCTTGTGCCCGGGTTGCGTCCTTCTTGCCCTAGGTGATGTACTTCAGCTCGCTCTTCCCCTACGTGGTGCTGGTTTGCTTCTTGGTGCGGGGACTTCTGCTGCGCGGGGCGGTGGATGGGATCATGCACATGTTCACACCCAAGGTAAGAGTCTCCAAGCAGGTTCTCCTCCCAGCTGGCCACACTCTATTTTCCCTTATGCTCTCCACCCCAAAAACCAGAGTACCAACCCCAAACTACCTTGGAGATCCTGATATATCATCAGGATGTGCCAGCAGCACCCTAAATATGGGGTATGGCCAGGACAGCCAAGAGCCTCGCAGACTCACCACCCTGGAGCTGCTTTGAGCCTTGGCATCACTCCCATCACCTTTAGGTGCCCAGATGCCAGGGTGGGGGTGGGGGGGTGCCTGAGGTGATAAATTTAAAGACTTAATGGGAAGATGCTGGCTGGCAGCAAAACCTCTGCTGGTGGTATGCATCCATTAATTAACCAGCTACTTAATTAATTAAGCAGAGATGTAGATGAATCAGCTCAGCCGGCAAGGCTGTTAGAAGATACTAATTAATTATGATTTCTTGAAGAATGATGCTCGGAGGCCCTCCAGCCTGCAGCTCTGGGTTGCAGGAGAGGTGGGATGTGGTTGGGGGACGGGAGGTTAAACAAACCTGCCAGCCGAGACATTTGATTTCAAGTGCTCCAGGCACTCCGGAGGCAGGAAATGGCCAGGGGGGATGGACACCCATCGCTGGGTGGCACGTGGCTCCCTTGGGTGGGGGGACATGGATGCCAGCTCCCCAGGGCAGCTGGGTGGTCCACTGGGAAGCTGTAGGGCTTTGCACTGGGAGATCAGGCACCCAGCTTGGGCTCTGGGGCAGATAGAGCACCCAGAGACATGGTCAGGCCAAATCTTCACCTGCTCTTCTCCATGCCTCAGTTTTCCCCTCTGTGGGAAAGAGAAAAAGGACCTATGAGTGCTGGGTAATGCAAGGCCTGATTGTGGCAGATCAAAGCATGCCCACGGCTGCTCCAAAACCAGCCCAGGCTGTAGGCACAGCAGCCTTTTAATTTAGCTCTGGCTCCACTGGGATGAGCTGTGGGGCCACCAAATGATCTAACTTCTTCTGTCTCCCCTCCAAGCTGGACAAGATGCTAGACCCCCAGGTGTGGCGGGAGGCAGCTACGCAGGTTTTCTTTGCCCTGGGCTTGGGCTTTGGAGGAGTCATTGCCTTCTCCAGCTACAACAAGCAGGACAACAACTGCCACTTTGATGCCACGCTCGTCTCCTTCATCAACTTCTTCACATCTGTCCTGGCCACCCTGGTTGTGTTTGCTGTGCTGGGCTTCAAGGCCAACATCATGAATGAGAAATGTGTGGTGGAGTAAGATTTGCTTTTTCTCTTTTTGGGGTGGGAAGGTCTTTGCTACTGCTGGTTGTGGTGGGTCTGAAGGCAGTAGAGTAAGTGCTCTGGAGTTGGGTGATACTGTGTATGGTGGACCCAAGTTTCTGGTGGTCAAGACCTCCAGAGATGTCCTGCTGTAGCTGAAGGAGTTGGGTATTCAGCTCCTCCAACCTAAAATCCAGCCCTAAGATGGGCTCTTAGCCTGCAAATTGAGGGTAAATCCAACATGTCTGGTCACATCACCTGGGTTTCCCCCAGTTTCCACTCATTGTAGGGTCCACTTGTCTGCAAGGTTAAGGGAGCTGCTCTGCTGTACCCTAGAAGTAGCTGGAGGAAGGTGAACTTGTGCACCTAGTGTTATCTTTAGACAGTGAGCTGCATCCATAAAAATCCAGGCCATGCAGTGTGGAGTCCCAGAGTAGGAGATAAAGCTGAGGATGAAGAACAGAGAGCCCATTCCCTGGTGGGCCCCCATCTGCATCCTCTGTCATGTGGCCTAATGCGATGTTTACTTACACCTCGGGAAATTGCAGAGGTCCTCTGACTGAGACCTGGGTAACGCAACCCAGGGAGGTTCATCCTGCCTGGGGCAAAGGGCTTGCACGCTCCGGCCCCGTCCTCCACCCTGGGAGGAAGGGGACAGCTCTGGGTGACCAGGCTCTGTTGTCCCTTAGGAACGCTGAGAAGATCTTGGGCTACCTGAACACCAATGTGCTGAGCCACGACCTCATCCCACCCCACGTGAACTTCTCCCACCTCACTGCCAAAGACTACAATGAGATGTACAGGGTGATCATGACAGTGAAAGAGGGACACTTCAAAGAACTGGGCTTGGATGCCTGCCTGTTGGAGGACGAGCTCGACAAGGTACCTGGTGCACTCCTAGTAGGACCAGGAGGACACCTACCCCATTGCCTCTCCCTGGTAGGAGCTGCTCTACTTGTGTCACTTCTGGCACATGGATCTGGAAAATCTATTTTAAGAGACCCTCCAAGGATGGGGATTCCCTGTCCCTGTGGTCTTCCCCAGCATACAGTGGTCCTTCCTGGGATGGGGGAAAACTCTACCCATAGCAAACCTAGCAGGGTCATCACCACTTCCAGGCTGGGGTGCCAGACTGGATTTTTCTTTCCTTGAAGAGTGGTTCAGTGAGAGAGACCTGAGGCACGCAGGGGCTTGCAGGCTGTGTCCCTGACATGTTTCTTCTCATCTTTTGGTCCTTTCTCCCCCTGAATAGTCAGTGCAAGGAACTGGCCTGGCCTTCATTGCCTTCACAGAAGCCATGACCCACTTCCCAGCCTCACCGTTTTGGTCCGTCATGTTCTTCCTGATGCTGATAAACCTGGGGTTGGGGAGCATGATCGGGACGATGTCAGGCATCACTACACCCATCATCGACACCTTCAAGGTGCGGAAGGAAGTGTTCACAGGTGAGGTCTTTTCTCCTGCAACCTCCTGGGGAAGGGGTGGAGGGTCCCCGTTGCCCTGGGGAGTCACTCCAGAAGAGCGTGGATGTGGTGGACATGTCCTGGGCCCTGCTAATGCAGGGAATGGACCTTGTGGTGGAGGCCTTGGTTCCCCTTGGGGTGCTCTGCTGACCATGCCCATTTGCTCCCCATAGTTGGTTCCTGCATCTTCGCTTTCGTGGTGGGACTGATCTTTGTGCAGCGCTCTGGGAATTACTTCGTCACCATGTTTGACGATTATTCAGCTACGCTGCCGCTCACAGTCGTGGTTATCCTGGAGAACATTGCTGTGGCCTGGATTTACGGCACCAAGAAGTAAGACGTTTGTACAATGAAGAGAATAACATGCTGTAACTCCTGGCTAAAAAAAACCCCTCCTTCCAGCTCTTTTCCATATGACTTTTTCCCTAAGAGGCCAGCTCTGATGGAGCAAATGTCCCAGGGGCAGCTACCTTATAGAGGCAGGACCTCAGTTCACCTTGATCCTCTTGCCCTGCCCTAGGTGTGACCCGGCCCCAGGAGCAGGTCCTTCTAGTGGGTATCTACTGTTGGTTGTGGTGCTCTGTCACTTGTGATTACCCTTTCGTCTGAGGTTTCCAGGTCCTTCTGGAAGGGGACCTTGTTCCCCCCAGTGCCTCTTCTTGTTTTTCTTAAGTTGGCCAGAGCAAAGGGGGCTCTGGCTAATGCTCAAATGCCTTTTCCTTAGGAGGTTCCCAACCAGTCCTACAGGCTTGAGGAACACTGAGATGCTTGCCTGGATCAGCTGGGTTCTTCTTCAGGCTCTACCTTGAGCCTAATTTACAACAGGGTCTCCTGGGAGGGAGTTTCCTCACTTAAAGGTGGGGAATGGCATGGTTTCATCTCTTCTTCTTGGCAGGTTCATGCAGGAGCTGACGGAAATGCTGGGTTTCCGGCCCTATCAGTTCTACTACTACACCTGGAAGTACGTCTCTCCCATCTGCATGGCCGTGCTCATGACTGCCAGCATCATCCAGCTGGGAGTCAGCCCCCCGGGCTACAGTGCATGGATCAGAGAGGAGGTGAGCACAGCTCCCTTCCCTGCAGCCACCCCCACCCCAGGGCCAGGCTGAGCAGGGGGCAGCTGAGAGCTGCAGACCACCCTGCTCTTCACAGCTCTGCTTGTTTCTCCTCCCCTCTCCTGCTGGGAGACATCCTGCCTGTGGCCGCTCATCCTCTGCAAGCAATCAGGTTTGTCCACACTGCTCAGAAGTCTCCAGCCAGCTCTGACCATGGGCTGAAGTTTGAGCTTGGATTTTGGTTTGCTTCCACAGCTACATGCTGTGTGCAGGACCATGTCCTTTTCCTTGACTTGAACCCACCTTCTGATAGCTTCGTGTGGTGCCCCTGAGGATGAAGTCTGGCAGGAGGCGGCAGGAATTGTCTAGCACTTAGGAGTTGTACCTGGTGTGCATCACCTTTGCTGTAACAGCCCCTTGACACTAATATCTGTCTCTCTTAGGCTGCAGAGAAGTTCCTTTTCTACCCAACCTGGGCCATGGCTATCCTCATCTCTCTGATCATCCTGGCAACCCTCCCTCTGCCTCTGGTCTTCATCCTCCGGCAGTTCCACCTCGTGTCGGATGGCTCCAACACCCTCTCTGTCACCTACAAGAAGGGTCGGATGATGAAAGACATCTCCAATTTGGAAGACAATGATGAGACCCGCTTCATCCTGAGCAAAGTGCCCAGCGAGACCCCATCCCCCATGCCCACGCACCGTTCCTACTTGGGTCCCGGGAGCAACTCCCCAATGGAAATGAGCAGTGTCCCCAATGGACGATACGGGAGTGGGTACCTACTGGCCAGCACCCCTGAATCCGAACTGTGATGGTTGCCTGCCGACCACCCCCACCGGGAGAGGAGGTCACTGGGGAGTGGATCCTGGCTGTCCAGGCAACAGGAAAATTAATTAATAAGGAAGATGAAGAAGAAACCCCTCTTAAAATTGTAACCAAAAGCAGCCATTTCTAAGACGACATCGGGAAGAAGGGATTGCGGGAGGGGCAGGACTCCTCCGACAACCCTTGGCTGAAAGGCAGGATCCCCCAGGCTTGCCTTTGGGGAAGGAAGGAGGAACAAGAGACGCTGCAATATCTTTCCAAGAGTTGTTCTCTTGCAGCTCAAATCTGAAGCAAAGAATTTCTCTTTTCTAAGCAGCTGATGGTTGGAAAAAGGACCTGGCATCAGGTGGAAAGCCAACCACGCTTCCTCCTGTAACCCAGCACTCTTCCCTCCCCGTCTGTTGTCCTTTAGCCGGGAGGTGTCATGGCCTTATTCCAACGAGCACAATTAACCATTGATGTTCATAGCACAAAAAGGTGCTGTTGTTGTCACCATCCTTCTTGTTGTTGTATCTCCTGTAGGTTTTTATAGCTGTGGACACACCCAAATAACCCCCAAATTTTGACCAGGGTTGGCAGGGAGCAGCACAGGGCTGGCTGAGATGTTGCAATGTGTGAGACAGTGGATGGTGGATCCTTGGTATCTGTTTTGTTACCACCAGCATGGGGACAGCGCCTGTAGGTTGTTCTGAGACACGGAGATGTCACGTCCGTGAGGCGAAGCGGTCAGCATGCTCCGTGGTTAGGCAGTTATCATGCTGAGTGGCAGAAGGACCTCTGAAGTGAGGGTGGTTTGGATGTGTGAGCGTGTGTGGGGTCTGGATAGGGTTACCATGATGGGGGTCAGGAGCGCTCTCCTGGAATTACTCCTGACACGTGGAATGTTTTTTTTATGGTGATCGTCTCCTCTTGCCACTCTCTTTAGATGTCCCAGAGGGACAAGCAGAGAAGCTGTGGGGCATCCAGTCCTACCACAGTCCTGGTTTAGCTCTCAGGAAACCACCCCCTGACTTACCTCCCTTGCACCCACCAGCTGAGGTGAACTGGGCAGTGATTATCTCTGGACGTATGTCCTCATTTCTCATAACTTCGAGCCAAGGGGGTCTGCGTTGCCTCCCGTTGCATCTCCACAGGGGCTCACCAGCCTTCGGATGGGGGTAACCAGCTCCTGGGGACAGCAGGGGTCTGCTGAGCCGCAGCAGTGCCAGGTCCCAGTGTCCCCGCTAGCCCTTGATCCAGGCTGGTGAGCCCCTGTTAGAGCCCGGGGGCCTCTATCGTGCCCGTCCATGTTTTCTGGGGACCACATTAATGCGACCTGATTTCTCCCCAGCTATCTAGGAGAGGTTGGGATCTTCCAGCTCAGAGTCTTTCCCACTGGGACTGAGGGTTGTTTCCCTGAATCCTACATGTAGCCGAGCATTTCTGTCAAGGGTACCAGTATTACGTGGCATCTTCCTCCTTTCCCCATGGGGACAAGGG